TTGATCTTCCTATCATTGATTTCTAATTTTATACCTTTATAATCTGAGCAGCTGCTTTGTAGTTATTTTAATGTTTTTAAATCTATTAAGGTTTGTTTTGTGGCCCAACATATGATCTATTCTGGAGAATGTTCCATGTGCACTGGGAAAGAATGTATATTGTGATATTATTGGGATGAGTGCTCTAAGTCTATGAGGTCAAGTTGGTTGACTGTGTTGTTTAGTTCCTCTGTGTCTTTGTTGAGTTTCTTTTTAGTTGTTCTATCCTTCATCAAAAGTGGTATACAGAAATCTCCTGCTATTATTGTAGAGTTGTCTTTTTCTTTCTTCAGTTCTATTAGAGTTTCATTTATGTATTTTGAGGCTCTCTCACTGGAGGCATAGATATTTATTATTATTATGTCTTCTTGTTCAATTGACACTTTAATCATGATATAATGTCCTTCTTTTTCTCATATGCTAGTTTTTACATTAAAAGTCTATTTTATTAGAGATTAAAATGGCCACTCCTGCTCATTTTTTTAAATTGCCATTTGCTTGATATAGTTTTTCCATCCTTTGATTTTTTAGTCCTTTTTTGTCTTTGTGTGTAAGGTGTGTCTCTTGTAGATAGCATATTCAAGGATCCTATTTTTGTTTAACTATTCTCCTAGTCTCTGTCTTTTTACTGGGTGCATTTCATCCATTTTCATTCAGTGTAATTACTGATAGATGTGCAATGATTGCTGACATTTTGCTGTGTGTTTTATTGTGACGCTGCTGGTTTCTTTGTTCCACATTATTTTCTGCCCTGAGTTCATTTTACTAGTGGGTTTTCTTTTTCTTTTTCTTTCTGTTGTGTTAATGTTTACTAAATCTTTCTGGTTTTCCTCTTTTTTATTTTGATGTGAAGCATAATGTCCTTCTGTAGGACTGGTGCTTCCTGACAACATGCCCAAAGTATGAGATGAAGTCTTGTCATCCTCACTTCTAAAGACCAACTGGCTGTAATTCTTCTAAGACAGATATGTTTGTTCTTCTGGTAATCTATGGTACTTTCAATATTCTTTGCCAACATCGTAATTCAAATTTATTAATTTTCTGTGATCTTCCTTACTTCACTGTCCAATGTTCATATGTATATGAGGTGATTGAAAATACTATGGCTTGGATTAGGCACACGTTAGTCCTCAAACTGCTATCTTTGGTCTTTAACACTTTAAAGAAGTCTTTTGCAGCTGATTTGCCAAATGCAATATATCTTTTGATTTCTTGATTGCTGCTTCAATGAGTGTTGATAGTGGATTCAAGCAAAAAGAAGGCTTTGACAGCTGTAATCATTTCTTCATTTATCATGATGTTATTTATTGGTCCAGTGGTGAGAATTTTCATTTCCTTTACACTGAGGTACTGAAGGCTGTAGTCTTTGATCATCAGTAAGTACTTTAAGTCCTGTTCACATCCAGCAAGTAAGGTTGTGTCATCTGCATAATGCACATCCAATCTGGATGCCATATTTTTTCATATAATCCAGTTTATTTGCTCAGCATACAGATTGCATAAATATGGATACGGGATACAACCTTGGTGCACACCTTTCCTGATTTTAAACTACTCAGTATTCCCTTGTTCTATTCAAACAATTACTTCTGGATATCTACACGTTCCTTATGAGCACAACTAAGTGTCCTAGATGATGATTTTTGCATTCTGTTGGGTCACCTGTCTTAGGAATGAGCACAAATATGGATCTCTTCCAATCAGTTGGCCAGGTACCTGTCTTCCAAATGTCTTGGCACAGAGAAGTGAGTTCCTCCAACACTGCATCAGTTTGTTGAAACATTTCAGTTTGTATTTCATCAATTCCTGAAGTCTTGTTTTTCACCACTGCCTTCAGTGTAGCTTTGACTTCTTCCATCAATGCTGTTGGTTTTTAATCATAAACTGCCTCTTGAAATAGTTCAACAGTTACCAATTCATTTTGGTAAAGAGACTGTGGGTATTCCTTCCATCTTTTTTTTGTTGTTGTTGTTGATTCCTATATCATTCAATATTTTGCCCATAGAATCCTTCAATATTGCAACCTGAGGGTTGAATTTTTTCTTCAGTTCTTTTAGTTTGAGAAGTGCTGAGTGTGTGTTCTTCCCTTTTGGTTTTCTAACTCCAGGTCTGTGCACATTGCATTACAATACTTGACTTTGTCTTCCTGAGCTGTCATTTAAAAGATTTTGTTGCATTTTTTTTTTTTTAACTTCATCGTTTCTTCTATTCGCTTTAGAATCTCTAGATTCAAGAGGAAGTTTCAGAGTATCTTCTGATATATATTTTGGTTCTTTCTTTCTTTCCTGTTTTTTCAGTGAACTTTTGCTTTCTTCATGTATGATGTTCTTGATGTCATCCCACAGCACTTCTGGTCTTCAGTTATTAGTATCTATGGGATATACTCAAGATCATATTTTGTCTCTTGTGGATTTGTTTTAATTTTCTTCACCAGTATAAACTTAAAATTTATCCAAGAACTTTCAACCCAGGAAAAGTAAATATTTTCACTTGTGGACTTCTAAGTTGAGAATTACTAGCTGTATTTACTGAATCCAAAAAGAACACTTGATTTTGTCCCTCAGATCTCTTTCCCTATCTTTCTCTTCTCAGTCAAAGGAACAACCATCCTTTTATTTGCTTAAGCCAAATTCCTAGACATGTACTTAGATTTCTCTTCTTCCTTCCTTTTCCAAGTTGATTCATTTGCAAAGACTGTCTGCAAAAGAGACCAACCTTCACCTCTAGCAACCCACATCCAAGACTCACCTCCACTTGTTTAGGCTACCAGAGTCTCCCAAATGCTTTCAAATGACTTCTCTTTTGCATCACTTTTACACTAAGCAGATAGTGCTATCATAAAAATGTAAATTACATGTCATTCCTCTGCAAAAAAGTTTGAGTAACTTCCTATTGTTGTTGTTGTTTTGTGCTGTGGAGTCAGTTCCGACTCATAGTGACCCTGTATAGGATTTCCAAGGAGTGACTGGTGAGTTTCAACCACTGATCCTGTGGTTCAAACTGATCTTGAGGTTGAGTGCTTATCCTATGGCACCACACCAGGACTCCCTATATAAGTATGTTGTTATTGTTGTTAAGTGCCGTCGAGTCGATTCCGACCCATAGCGACCCTCTATAGGGTTTCCAAGGAGCAGCTGGTGAGCTTGAACCACCAACCTTGTAGTTCAAACAGCTTTGCTGTCTGGAGCATTAACCCACAGAGCCATACCAGGATTCTTCTATAAGTATACTAAACCTTTATTGCTTCTGTGTTCTGCCAAATCAATTCCAACTCATGTGACCTCATGTGACAGAGTAGAACTGCTCCATGGGGTTTCTTAGGCTTCAAGCTTTACAGGAGCAGATTGCCAGGTCTTTTCAGTTATGGAGTCACCGATGGGTTTGAACCACCAACCTTTTGATTACAAATCGAGTGCTCAGCCATTGCACCACCTGGTCTTTACTAAGTTCTTATTATGACTAAGTACTGTGGCGTCAGCTCTAACTCACAGTGACCTTGTATAGGGTTTCCAAGGAGTAGCTGGTGGGTTTGAACCACTGGCCTTGTGTCTAGCAGCTCAGTGCTAAACATACAGGACTTCTACTAAGTCCTTAACTGCCTCCAAATATTTGTAATAACAACTCCTCTTGTAATTTTGATCTCATGTTACATGTCAACTTCCCAGAGAGTCCATTTCTGATTACCCAATTTAAAGTGATCTTCTGTTCACTCTGTTCTGTTACCTTATTTTGCATTTTGTATTGGCCCAGGATTGGGTAGTGTTTCCTTCTGCTGTGCATAAGATCGCTATGGGTTGGTACTGACTCGATGGCACCTAACAACAACAACAACAATTGCATTTATTGCTACCTAATCCTAGTGGGTTGGAACTGACTCGATGGCACTTAACAACAGCAACAACAATCCTGGTGTGATGCTGTGGGTTAATGCACCAGATTGCAAGCCTTTTGAACTGCAAGGTCAGCAGTTCAAGCTCATCAGCTGCTCCTCGGAAGCCCTATACAGGGTTGCTATGGGTTGGAACCAACTCAATGGCACTAAACAACAACAACAACAACAATATTCTCCTGGAGTCCTCGTGTGGTGCTGTGGGTTAATGCGCCAGAGTACAAAGTCATTTGAACTGCAAAGTCAGCGGTTCAAGCTCACCAGCTACTCCTCAGAAACCCTATACAGGGTCGCTGTGCATCAGCGATAACTCAACAGCACTTAACAACAATAATATTTTCCTTGCTATAGTCTACATCGCTCTAATAAAATGTAAACTTGATGAGGACAGGCACTTTGCTTTATCATCATGACTTAGATCAGCATCTAACATACAGTGAGCCCTCAAAAGACACTTGTTGGAAGGGCAAATCTTTGGTTTAACTTTGATAGGTTATATAGGAACACAAGAGTTTTTCCAATACAACTTTGTAACTCTGCTCCATCCATTTCCGGCCAGTCTTATAAAACTGCTTCAATTCATAAAAACAGCAGCAGCAGCAGCAACAACAACAACAACAACAACAACAACAAACAAACAAAGTACTCCACTGGACCAAGCAAGGATGTAGGTTCCTTCTATCTCTTGGCAACTAACAGGTCAAGATCTAAATTCAGTTCAATAGTTCGAAGTCATCTGAGAAGGGGTAATGGAGAGATAAATGAATACTACTGACACGAATAATGTCTCACTTAAAAAATGTAACATTGAGAAAGAGAGAAAATGATTCTTAAGATCAAATTTTTGGGCGGGGGGTTAGATATATTAGAGAAAGTAGAAGGCGAGCAGAAAAGCGAAATCAAATGGAAAGTGCTCACACCATGATATAAACGTTTGTGTTTTTTGGCTTGGGTACCACGTCTTGTATTGTAGATAAACACTAAGTTAGAAAGAATGATGACGTGAAGTGGGATGGAAGCGAGAGAGAGGTGGAGTGGATAACCAGGATGAGACGCGAAAGAAGCTAGCAAAGAAATACGGAAAGGAGAGCTGTACAAAAGCAGCCTCGGATCTTGCCGGGGCTGCAAGCGTTAAGGGTAGGCGGGGAGTGACGCGGTTTGCGTCTGGAGCGGCTCCTTGGAGTCCACAGCATCCACCGCCGGAGCCTCGCCTTTCTTTCTCCCTCTGCAGACATAGCGAGACACAAAAAGAGAGGCGACCCCTCGACCTGTGCGAGGGGCCCACACGCACAATGACCGAGACCACCAAGACCCACGTTATCTTGCTTGCCTGCGGCAGCTTCAATCCCATCACCAAAGGGCACATTCAGATGTTCGGTGAGTCCTCCCGCCCACCCCCGGAGGCAGCTTCCGCTCCTCTCTCTTTTCCCCGGCACCTGTATTTTCCTGGGCGATAAACAGGAAGGCGTGTGCCCCTTCTTGGGAGGGGGCGTCTGAGCAGATCCCCTTAGTGGGGAGCCAGCCCCTCTATTCCGCCTCCAGCGAGAGGACACGGAATTCGTTTCTAAGGCGTCACTTGCGCGGGCCAGACCGGACTCGCTGGGGGCCAGGGCGGGGGAGGGGAGGGGCCCAGGAGGTGAATGTTGGGCTAGGCTGGGTGGGATCTAGAGCTCCGGTACAGGGGTGCGGCGGTGCGGCGGTGAGGCTACTTAGCCGGGAGGAGACCTGGATGGGGCAGAGGTTGGGGCACCAGAAAAGGAAGAAGGCGTTGGAGGTAACGTGCTGTTTGTTTAGGATGGGCTGATAGCTCGAAAGAGTTAAATGATGTCTCTGCCTCAGTGACACAAATATAGACTCGCACGCTACACACCCGTGTCAGGGGCAAGGGCTTCCTGGAGATTAATTTAGGGTCTAGCATGGGTCGGAGCGGCCCAGTAGGCAATGTTTGGGGGTTGTGGATCGTGTTTTGTCCGTGCAGGGTGAGTGGGGAGGGAGCCCCCAGTCCACTTGGGTTTCACTGTGAGGACTTGGTGCCTAGGAAGGGGAGGGGGCGGGGCTTTCGCTGAGGGTCGCCCTTCGCGAGCTGGTGTTGGTGGATCCGGGCCCAAGTTGGCTGAGGCTGTGCCCAGGGCAGCGGTAACACCAGGAGGGCTTGCTGCGTGCGAGTGTGTGTACGAGTGAGTGTGTGCGTGTGTGCGTAGGAGGTAGGGGACGCTCGCATCATCCCACATTTGTTTCTTGAAGGCTTTGGGGCGTGGAGCGAAAGGCAGCGAGCCGGGCCTCCTGGCTGCTAGTTTGGGATTCGGTGGCAGGAGAAAGGTGATTTGTGTCAAGGATGGGGAAACTATGCGTTCTTCTTGTTAGACCCAGAGATGAGGGGGTGTGCGCGTTTACACCCTCGATGGTGAGCGTAGAAGGCAGGAGGTCCCTTTAGAAGCAAGAATTGAGGAGAGGCTAGAAGTTGGGGGTCATATTTTCCTGAGATTGAGGAAAATGAGAGGGCACGTGGGCTACAGATTGATGAGGATCTGGTGGCAGGCCTTGACCCGAAAGACCAGCAAGGCGCTATCCAGAAACCGCGGTGCTGAAACGTAGGGCGCACCGGAGCTGGCTGTGTTTACCGCGAGCTTGAGGATTGCTAGAGCCCTCCAAGCGTCGTTAAATGAAAGCCACACGTATAGGCAAACTTAAAGGTGTTCTGAGAAGGACCTGCATATATATATAACCATCAAGAGAGTACAGAGCCACTTGAGTAAAGAGGTCAGATGGAAACATTTACAGGCTACTAGGAGGGTGACCTCAACGTCTGCACCAATCATTCAGTTTTTAAAAATATTTTTTATTAGGAGCTAATGCCTACTTGGCTATTGATAAAGTCGTTCTTTCAAGTACTGGGGTAGAAATCTCATCAGTCTTTTAGGGGAAGTGTTCCCTGAGAGCACTCTACTTTCACTTTCTCCTGACTCTGTTGTCTTCACTGCTGTCTTTATTTTCCTCTCTTCCCATAATTTATCTAGTTAGTACTTCATTTCTTACCTTGGCCAGGCAAGGATGGGCTTTCCATTGTAACTTCTTGGCCCTAGGAATCTTTAGTGAATCAGCAGGTACTTCCCGGGGCTGAGAATGTAACTAAATCTGCTTGTTTTGGATTGCAAAGTATTATATTTAGATTGAGAAGAAAAGAATCTGTCTTCCAGCTGAAGAGAGCTTGGTAACACTAATGAGACTTTTTCAGCCACTCTCCATCAGCTTTGAGGATAAAATATATAGCAATAAGTATGGCTTACAGCATCCGAATTTAGGAATAGGATAAATGAAAAGAAGACATTTTGACAATAGTGACCCTTTGCTTGGTGTTGAAACTGTGTATACCATGACTTTAAGGAGCTCACAACTAATGATCCTTTGACACTAGATCTCCGACAGGCACAAATACAAAAAGAAAACAAGAATAGGAGCACAAAATAGATATTAAACTATTCTTATTTTTTCAGAGAAGTTTTTGGTAACATATACATAGCTTTTAAATATATATTATGCCAATTCTTCCAATAGTAACCCTCTATGGAAAACATTGATATCTATTTAATATATGAGAAACTGGTGTTCAGAGGCTACGTACTTTCTCATAAACCCACATAGAGAGTCAAGACTTGAACCTTGTATTTCTGATTGTTCTTGCAGAGGCACCAAAGGCAGGAGCATGTGCTCACTAAGTTTCTGATTGCATAATTCCATGAACATTCTATTTCCTTCAAATACATACTAACAAATTAGAATTAAATTGGTCATCAACTAAATGAGATTCCTAAATATGCATTTCCTTAAAAGCTCTCTCCCATTTCTAAAGCAACCAGTTAGAGAAGCCAGTTATCCTTGAGCTATTTCCTCCTTTTAAATGGCATTTAAATGTTTCTCCCCAACAATACAGAAATTACTAACACAATAAAATGATCAAACGTTCTTTAAGATCCCTGAAACTTGTAATAAAACAGCAACAAAACATAGCCCCAAATGGAACTTTGAAATTAGCGTCCTGGTGTGGCACTGTGGGTTAATGCGCTGGACTGCAAAGTTAATTTGAACTGCAAGGTCAGCAGTTCAGGCTCACCAGCTGCTCCTCAGGAACCCTATACAGGGTCACTATGAGTCAGAATGGACTCAAAAGCTCTTAGCAACAACAATGGAACTCCTATATTTTGAAATCTAATTTCTTACCACATAAAAAATGAGAAAGACACTATAGAAAAAGAAACAATGCATTCAAAACAGAAGATTCAGTGTCCATCTCTGAAAAGCAACACTTGTATAATTCTCAATTATATATATATATAAAGAATGAGCTTTCCTTTACTTGGAAAGAGGAGTTCATTGTATTCCTATTTGTAGCTCTAGAAACAGATAGAGAAGAACATTAACATTTGTGATAGAGATATTTGACACCCATATACTCAATACTCAACTGTAACTGAAATTTTTTCAGAGATGCATAAAAGTTTTTGGCAAAGTAAATCCATTAACAAATGGTGTTGTATTTCTTGGTTCTGCTTTATTGCATAAAAAAGAAAATGTGAAACTAAAAGGTTTTTTTTTTTTTTTTTTTTTTTTTTAGGCATGCAAGTTCTTAGTTTTTAAGTACCTAATGAGTGCATTTTAGTCTAGTTTTCTTTGCATTTAAATTGTTGTAGTTCTTAACAAACTCTGCCACTGGAAAATCAGATAACAAATTTAAGTAAAAAAAATCAGAAATGAATGAATAGCTTAACAAGTCTATCAAAAGAAAGCAGAGGAATCGGGGCATTTGATGACAGTGGAAGCACATTCTGTTTTTCAATGGAATTGAATCTTCCAAGATTTTTTTGATTTACATAAAAATAATTTTGTACTAAACAAGTCTATCTTCCGAAAAAGAATTACTCCATTTCTCTTGAAGAGTCATGAAGAGGACTTTCTATTTTGAGCAGGAGTTGGAAATGCAACACTATTGCTAAAGTCAGAAATAATAGGAAACAAATTTAAGTTGCCACTTATATATAGAAGGAGTGCTGGTGGCACACTGAGTAAGTGTTCAGAATGCTGACAGTTTGAATTCACCTGTCATCTATGTGGGAGAAAGACCTGACTATCTGATTCCATTCCATACGGATTGTTGTTGTTGTTAAGTGCCTTCAAGTTGGTTCTGACTCATAGCAACCCTGTGTAGGGTTTCCAAGGAGCAGTTGGTAGTTTGCATTCCAGTGCTTATCCTACAGTGCCACACCACGAGTCCTCCACAAATGATTACAGCCTTGAAAATTCTATGGTGGTTATGGAAAAAACACCCCTCCGAAACAAAAACCCTATGGGGTTAGTTCTACTCTGTCACACATAGACACTATGAATTGACTTAATGGAACCTAACCACAACTATTAATATATAAAGAACTGTTGAAAAATCAACAATTAAAAAAAATATGTTTAAAATACTTATATAAAAATGTCATAGTTCTCAGTTCAAAACTTTAATCTTCACATCACTCTCTCATTTTGATCATGTTCTGTAAGGTAAACTGAATAATATTACCCTTCCTTTTCAAAAAAATGCCAAGGCAGAAGTACAGATAGATGGAAGTCATTGGGTCAAGGTCATAAGCAAAAGTCAGACTAGAACCAGTTTCCTGATATTTAGATTCTTTCTTATCTAAGATGCCACTTCTTCATTCCTTTAATTGCAAGAGGACCTATGAAAGGAAAAATCATCTAAACTTAGCTGTCAAGAAAAAGGTGATGGGAACTTTATGGTTTGTTTTTTTTTCCCTCTTAGCAACACCGACCACCAACAAAATATATCAATTTCTAATACCTTATAATAAAGAAAGGTGATTTTTAGAATTCTCATATTTTCTGTTGAACTGTGTTTCTGAAACACTGATTTCACCCATCACCTTCTCTTTCTTCTCCACTCTTCTGTTACTCCAACTAACAACTATTTATGCTTCAGAATTTAGCTTCAACAGTACTTTTTCAGGCCCTTCACTGACTCCTACAATGTCTGGTTGCCTAACATTTGCTCCCACATCACTTTCATACTTGCCATGTCATAATTCTCATCTCATTACATATTTCATGACTGGTTTCTATTCTAGATTATAAATTCTAAGAGATCAGAAATCATGCCTATTTTGATCAATGATATACAGATATTCCCCAATTTGTGGCATACACTATTTGAGTTATAATAATACCACTTACAACTACCTGTTTGTTGTTTTTGTATTTTATCACTAGTAATATGTACTATATACAGTGCTGCAGCTTGTAACTTGCTGATGTTATCATCTTCAGGTATTCACTCACAGATATTCAAAAATAGCGTTCATGAAGATACTGATAATAAC